TAAAAAATGAGATAAAATGTGTTATTTTCTTTAACAAATTACATTATGGAATGTTTTTTTCGATAGAAACCATTGATATCGTTTACATTCAAATAAATATTATTTAACTAATTATTAGTAATTTAGCTAAATCGCAAGAATTTTGATGGTTAGGATTAAATTTGAAATTTTTAGAAACAACAAGAAGGACTAAATGACGACAAAGACAAGGCAAAATTTCTCACAATTCAAGAATTGGCTTCCGGAAACAGAAGCGTATGCGGCAGCGGTGGGATTTCTTAGCAAGGTAGGAAAAATTGTTTTAGTAGGGTTTATCTTTCTATTCAGTAAGTTTATTTAACTATTAAATTTAATATTCGCTATAAATATAAAATTATTCTCTCTAAGTAATTTTTAGCCGGTTTTAATACAAATAAATTCCTATAATTTATTTTTGAAGCTTTTCAATTATGGTTTTTATTGCCTTTTTTTAACCTTTTTTTCTTAACATAGTTATTATTTTTTAATGTTTTATAAACCAATTTTTTTATATAGTTTATATTAAGTTTTTCTATATTAAAACTTTACTCGGATCTTGGAATGCAATCACTTTTGGGTCGATTTAAACATTTCTATTTATTTAGAATTTTTTGTAACTTTAATCTCTTATTTGATTTTTTTTATCCATTTTTTTTGATCTATTTCTTATTTTGATTATATATTTGTAAAAATCTTCATTCATTCAATTTTAATTGGGATAAAATTACCACCTGTACACATGATATATATTAAAAAAAAAAAAAAAAGATTAATTGATAGCACACGCACATATACATCCGTATGGGTCATGAAATTTCCTAATCTAAGCAGGAAGGAAAGCCAAGGGCTCTATCCCAACTTTATTATTCCCCGCTTGAGAAAGATACATATATTTGTTACCAATTAATGCTCATTTTGTCCAGTTATACTCTTGCTTGTAAAATGCTAAGGTAGTACTCAATTTCGAGATTTTCTTTCCTCGCCACTTTAATTCAGAAAAAAAAAAAGTTTTATTCATTCAATCCATAAAATAACATATGAACTGGTAATTTATTCATATATAAAACTTTCTGTAATAAGTCGAGTTTGAATGCCATGGGCCCTGGTCCATACCAGCGGCCCAAGTGCCGCTCCCAATTACGATACATCAAAATATGCAAATGAAATTCAACTAGCACCAAAAAAATCAAATTCATTGGAAGGAATTAAATGCACAACGCCTTTGTTTGAGATGAACGTCTAGCATGCTCCAAGTTTTGAATTAATTCATGTATTTTATGTTCATTTTTAACTCGATCCTTCTATTAATTAAAATTTAACAAAAACAGATATTAGTCGCTAATTTACTAATTTAGATATTTGATTGAAAAAATAATTAAGAAAGATGAGACAAAATAGAATTTCTTTTTGTAATCCAAATTATAATTTTGTCTTCATATTAAGCATATAATCAACATGATGAGCTACTATTTTAAGAATTAAACACCGGTTAGCCAAACAAACTAAAAAAAAAAAAAAGGGTAAATCATATTGACTCTTGATTGGGCGTTGTCTTTTAGTCGTTTTACACATGCATATATGATCATACTTTCTCCATTTTAATTTGGATGTAGAAAACTTTAAAGTTGCAGCATGGTGGAGGACCGTTATACATTGGATCTTGTTGCTTAAGCTACCTACCTACTTTGACCATTCCTGTTACTGCTATATATCTTCATCAATCAATGTACGACTCATTAAAATTGCTAATCAGTCTATCACATTGAAGTTGAAATAACTTTAAAATAAAAACATTGACTATATAGTATATGAAAAGTCAAACAAGTATCATATCAAATTAATTTTTCTATATGATTTTAATGAAAGTCATAGCAAGTTGTAGTTAATGTCTGCCCTAGAGTTTTTAGTAATAGGCTCTTAATTACCATTTGTTTAATTTTTCTATATGATTTTAATGAAAGTCATAGCAAGTTGTAGTTAATGTCTCCCCTAGAGATTTTAGTAATAGGCTCTTAATTACCATTTGCTTCCACATATCTCTTCATTTCACGCCATCGTAATTTACCAACCATATCCATGTACAATTCTATTCTTCCTTTTCCATTGGATGGTTAGAAAGTTATGAGAAGTAGCATATATATTTAATAAGCTTGCTAGCATGTTTATGAGAATATATATCAATAAAATTTATGATAATCAATTCATGATAAATTATATCTAAATTCTTATCATACTTCAACACTAATATTGAGAAATTTTATAATACTTAATGAGTAACTAATATAAGTTACTTCATAGAGAAAGATAAAAAGAAAAAGAAAAATGAAAAAAAAATTGATTCAATATGAATTTTTTTATTATTTTTGATAAATTCAAATGTGATTTTTTTTTAATGTATCTATCTCTTATATATATATATATATATAATTTTTTTAGTATTACAAAATGTGTCGTTACTATGGGAATCATCTCAATTTTAGATTAATTTTTAGTGTCGGTGTATTAATTGTAACTTGACAATGAAGACGATTGGAAATTGCTGCTAGCTAGGAAAGGAGGGTGACAGGATCGTGTCTTTATCCAAGTTGTACCAACTAGACTCTATAGCTTCATGTTTAGTCCTGAAATTTTCAAGGGATTCGGTGGTGGAATAATGAAACTATATTAGTAGATTAACAGAAGCAAAATGCTTTCTGGAATTGCTATAGTACGTGCTAATTAATGACTACTAGTGTTGCAAAGAGCTCACCTAACATGACCAAACAAATTGTCCGACTTTCTTCGAAACTACCAATCAGCTGAAACAAATCAACACCTAACCTCACCAATCATCCACCAGAATTGATTTTCATATACATAAGGGTTGATAAAAGAGTCAGAGATAGGACCACAATTAGTGCACTTTTCTGTTAAATATCCACCTGTGGAGGTTGATTTTTATTTAATAATATGAGTTTTGTTTTGGGCATTTATCTTTTTAAGCTATAGGGAATCCCGCTGGCTGAACCGGCCCTAAGCATAGAAACCTTTTTTTTTTTTTTTCCCTAATGTCTGAATTATTTTTAGTAGAAATCTCATTTCCATCCCTAATGTATTATCTGATTTCCAAATGCATGTCATAATAATTAATTTTATCCCTACATGTTAGGCGTTCTCAAAAAGATTATGCTAATTTTTCTCAAAATCACTTCCTGAAAACACATCATGCACTGATGAGTGAATTCCGCTAATGCATCTTGCAAATCTAAAAATTGAATTTTCTGACAAAGTAATCTCATGACGAAATTTTTAGATGAGATTAGCATTAGTTTTTTCAATGATTCTTTCAATATAAAATTATCATAATTTTTAATAAAAAAATATTGAATTCTAATTAAAAAAAAATTGTTGTATTGCATAAATTAACAGAACGTATCAGCGGACATGGACTAGATAGATCTCAATTGAGAAATTCATGATCATTCAGGGGACTTAATTGAAATTAATTTAATGTAGGAACCAAATTAAGAGTCGGTGGATAAGTTGGGCACGGATTTGAAGTTTCCTTTTTTTTTTTTTTATCAGCTAATATCTATTGTCTAGTAAGTAAAAGCAGGTGGCGATGATGACCCTTTTCTAAGCAGCGCTAAGGGCTGCCCTATTGGGCATCAATGCTACATTAAGTCATCATGACAATTCTTAATTATTATTACGTCCCTGATTCGATCAATGAAGTCGAAAGCACGGCACATAAAAATCCAACATTACAGCTCATTTTTCCAGCACAACTTCTCAGCTTTTCACGAGCGAAACTACAGAAATTTTTTGCTTTTTCTTTATTATGGGCAATGAAGGTCTTTTGTTGGTTTCCAATCCATGATTTTTCCCATGATAACAGAAAAAGTCACTTGATAGATATTGATTACTCTACAATAAATTATCTCCCCATGAATTGATTATTATCATTAAACAAAAAATTAAACTTTTTTATCAATCCCACAAGTTAACTGTTCTACAGAGTTAATTAGGTGGAAAAGGATAGTTTTGAATTTTTCATTGATGGGTATCTCCGATTTTCTACCACTCAAATGATCTGCCCACTTTAACCCGTTCAATAAGAGCGGCAGAGGAATGAGCTGAACCTGTCGTTGATTATGCACAAAGATTCCAAGCTATGTCCTTGATCCTTTTACTTCCTTCCTTTTTTTTTTTTTTTTTTTTTCAATAACTGAAATTCGCAGAAGAGGTTATCCACTTTCTACCTTAGTGGAGCCAAGCTATTCTTAGTATGAGAATCTCAAAGTTAATGAACTTCCAACAGTATTCATATGGTCCTTAAGTACCTTAAGTGCGACAGCCACCCCTTTCCTTCTGAACTAAGGAAGTTCTAAATTCAATATAAGATTTATGATTTAACATGTTAATTACATCCTAAGCAAAATTTATGACTTTCCAAGACCTTTAATTTTTCTGTCAAGCTTATTGAATTTGTACTCTTACAAACAAATAATATCAAAGCTGTAGAATTCTGGCTCTTGGCATTTGAATAACAATTTCAAATCATTGTGAATGTGTTAACATTGCTAGCCAAGTAACTTGGGGTGTAGAGGGAATAGTGCTTTACAGCTTTATGTGCATTTTCTCAGTATCCAAACTAATATTTGGAAGAGAAACATAAGTTGCCGGAGGAAACAAATTTGAAAAGAAAAATAGATGAAAAAGGTGTGTAGTAGGTAACTAATTACGTCTGTGAAGACAAATCCAATCATTCCAAGGAACATTTATTAACAAGTTTGTTTTAATAAGCCCTTTTTTTTAATTGACGATTCCACATTAAATCCAAAATGTGGTCCTTATATAAGGAGATGAAGTAGAGAGCTAATTACTCACAAGTCACAACTTCTAGCTTTAGCACTAGCACATTCGTGATTCGTCTTATTCTTTTTTGGCTCTTCTTGCTTCATTTCTTTAAAGATTATCACTAGGGTAAAAAAAAAAAAAAAATGAGAGCGAGCTATATTCTTTTTTGTTTCTTTATGTTTCTTGCCTCATCTTCAGCCCATCCGGGCAACAAGAAGCAGTACAAACCATGCAAGGAGTTAGTCCTATACTTCCATGACGTTATTTACAATGGCAAGAATGCTGCTAATGCAACAGCAGCAATTGTAGCAGCACCGGAAGGTGCTAACTTGACCATCTTAGCAAGCCATTTCCATTTTGGCAACATTGCAGTGTTTGATGACCCCATTACCCTCGACAACAATTTTCATTCACCACCGGTTGGTAGGGCACAAGGAATGTATATTTATGATACCAAAAACACCTTCACTTCTTGGCTAGGGTTTTCTTTTGCCCTTAATTCCACAGACCACCATGGCACCATAAATTTCATTGGAGCTGACCCAATTATGGTAAAGACTAGAGATATATCTGTGGTTGGAGGCACTGGGGATTTTTTTATGCACAGGGGAATTGCAACTATAGCCACTGATGCATTTGAAGGAGAAGTGTATTTCAGGCTCCGAGTTGATATCAAATTCTATGAATGTTGGTGAAAAAGTACTACAAATATGATTTATTCAAGATTGAGTGAAAATCTGGAGTATGCTTTTTTTTTTTTTTTTTTGGTGTGGGGGGGGGGGGGGTGTGGTTGGGGGTGGAGAGGAGGGGAGGGGAGGAGCTGTAGTACCTTTTTTTTTAATAAAACATTATATATTCAAGTGTGATCCTTGTGCTATTTAATAAATTTCATTTCGCTACTTTATTTGTATGAAATTTTGAAACCAGCTGAACAACTTGATGATTCTTTGACCACATGCATAGATTGATCGAGGTAGTGAATTTTGTTAAGCATGGGACCATATAGTCAAGGCATGGAGCAAATTTCTCGACCACACCTGGTCAAAGATTAACTTTCAATTAAATGAATTTGCTCGACCCGCTGGCCTATCTTTCGAGGTTAGCTCTTCCTTCCAAATTAGTAATTTTGTGACACTATATTTGTCAATTACTTCATTACTTTACATATGGAACTTTCAAAATTTTAACTAAAGAAAAAGAATTAAGAAAGTTTTTGATTCGCTATCTAATGTTAAAAGAAACTAAAAAACCTAAGAAAAACACTTGATTTGAAAATTTTGGAAAAGAAGTTGTTAAATTTTGGAGAAGATAACTATTAAGAATGTGAGGAAGAGAAGCAAAAATGTTATTGTTTCTCATTATCTAATTCAATGTTATATTTGCTATTTATACAAGGAGGTTTTTATCCTCTACACTCATAGTTGCACAACTAACTCAACTAATTAATATTGATTAATTAACTAACCATTAACCATTAACTAAATAATTATAAAGCATTCTCTCAATACTCCCTCTCATGTTGGTGGTTTATAGATATCATAAACACCCAACATGGAGAGAAAATATTGATGATGTTTACTACCAAGACCTTTAGTGAAGATGTCCGCAATTTGCTCATCGGTGGTAACATTGGCAGTCTTGATCAATCCAGACTTTCGAGCTTGTCCCAAACTAAATGGCAATCAATCTCGATATGCTTAGTCCTCTCATGAAAGACTAGATTAGAAGCAAATGTGCGGAAAAGCTTTATTGTCACAATAGAGTTCCACTCGTCGCCAAGTCCGATACTCCCAGCTCATGTAACAAACTAACAAGCCAAACTACCTCACATGTAGCAAGTAGTCATAACTCTATATTTAGCTTCGACTGAAGAATGAGAAATGGTGTTTTGTTTCTTTTTTTTTTTTTTTCGAGACAATAGAAAGGGCCCAAGGAATACACAAAATTTAGTGAGAGACTTTCTTGTCATGGGACAAGAAGCCCAATCGAATCACAAAATGCCTTCAACTCGAAATTGACTGGAAGAAGACAACTAGATGCCCGGACTAGGATTCCTTTTAAAATACTTAAGAACTCTTAAAGCATAGTTCATATGTGAGGTCTTGGGTTGATGCATAAATTGGCTCAAAATTTGCATTGTATAACAAATATCTAGTCGAGAGACAAGTAAGATAGATAAGCTTACTTACTAACCTCCGATATGGTTATCTAATATTGCATTTGGAGAGTCTTTAGTAGTAGACTCATCATACCGAGCTAATGTCGGTCTCGAGTTCCGTTCTAGTGGCCTCTCCACTAGTTTGGAACCAAGCAAGCTCCATCATGTAATAATTCCATAGTATACTTCCTTTGATTAAGACAAATGCCTTTCTTCAACATTCCAACTTCTATACCCAAGAAATACTTCATACATCCAAGGTCTTTAATGTAGAAAGTCCGATGTAGAAACAATTTTAGCTCCTTTATACCATCCTCATCATCTCATGTTATCAATATGTCATCCAAATTGATTAACAATGCAACTATCCTTCCATTCTTCCTTTTCCCGAACATAGAGTAATCATGTTGAGACTAAAAATAACCAACAAGTAGTATTTTTTCGGTAAATTTGCAATTCCATTGCCTCGAGGCTTACTTTAAGCCATAAAGAGACTTAAGCAATTTACATACTAAACCCTCCCCCTTATCGCCAAAACCGGATGGGATAGACATATAAACCTTCTTTATAAGATCTCCTTACAAGAATGCATTAGTCATATCCAATTGGTGCAAAGACTAATTATGTATTACGACCAAGGCAACCATAGTCCCGACAGCTTACCATTTTCACAATAGGAGAAAAAGTATCACTATAATCAATCCCTTCTAACCGAGTGTAACATTTAGTGATTAACCTGGCTTTATACCTCTCCATACTCCCATCAAGATTAAATTTCACTTTGTAAACCCATTTGTATCCCGTAAGACTTTTACCAACCGGAAAAGGAACCAAGGTCTATGTCTTGCTAAACTTAAGAGCTCGGATTTCCTATTTCATAGCATCTATCCACTTAAGATTTTTAGTAGCTTTTAAATATGAAGTAGACTCATGAATAGAGGAAATAGAGGAGACAAAAGTTATATGAAAGGAAGATAAAGAATCATATGAAAGGAAATTTTGAATACACTATTTAGGAGTAGAAAATAAGGAATTGTAGTTTGAGTTGTGTATGGTAGGATAATTGAAATCTTCAGAGCCAATATGGAGGTTTGGATACTCTTATAGACCTTCGAATAGGTAATATATCGGTAGGAATAATGGAAGAAGACTATGTTTGGTTAAGAGATACAATAGAAGGAGAATATGATTCTAAAGACTCGGACAATAGAGAATGAATTAGGTTCCGTAGTTAAGGTAATTAAAGATGAAATAGAAGGAATAGAAAAAATCAAGGGGTCATTATCATATAACCATTGATTAATAGGATTATTAGTGTTAATCTATGAGGAAGGAAAAATATGAAAAGAAGATTGAAAGGGAAACAAATTCTAATGAAATAAAATATCTCTAGAAACAAAAACTTTTTGAGTTGCTAAATCTAATACCTTATATCCTTTTTTGGTGTAAGGATAACCTAAGAAAAGGTAGGTTGTGATCTAGAAGCAAATTTGTTTAGACTAGGTAGTACTTTGGCGTAACATAAACAACCAAAAACTTAAAAATGAGAGTAAGCTCGGAGATTTACGAAACAAAATTTCAAAAGGAGTCTTGCCATTTAAAAGAGGTGTAAGAGTCCTATTAATAATATAAGTGGAGGTCGAACACAATCATCCTAGAATTAAATTAGAACATAAGGGTGCAATGTCAAGGATATACCTATGTTTTCTTTCTACAACTCCATTTTGTTGTAGAGTATATATAATAGTTGTTTCATGTAGAATACCCTTAAAAGAAAAAAAAAAAAAAAGGGATTAACAAGTATACTAAAGGAATTCAAAACCTCTGTCTAATTTGATCCTACGAACATGACTAGAAAATTGAGTATTAATGAGGGTAAAAAATGTCGAAGCAATTGGAGGACTTGAGATTTATGTTGTAGAAGAAAGGTCCAAGCACCTCTAGAAAAATCATCAATAATTGATAGAAAAAACCTTTCTTTATAGTAAATTAGATGTTTATATGGACCTCATATATCCACATGTATGATTTTAAATGGAAAATGTGTAATAGAAGTACTATGGGAAAAAAAGGTAATCCGGCATGTTTGGTAAATGGACAAATATCACAAAAAAAAAAAAAATTCATTATCGAAGTATTGTAATGGCAGGAATTAATTTGAGACGTGAAAGAGAGACATGGCCAAATCTCTTATGAAAAAGAGCTATTTTAGAAGGATAACTTGTCTTACAAGTAGCAGTTTTATAAAGAAACATAGACTTATCTAAAAATGTACTACTAAATATAGAATTCAAATTACAGTTTGTTTCAAAATGACTAGAATGAAACCTCGTTTTTAGAAGAGTTTGAAGAAATTGAAGACGAAAAAGTAGCTAGCAAGACATGGGAGAGACCATTGTGAACTTTACCAATCTCTTTTTTCCTTCCAATCCAAAGGTCCCGAAATAGACAAAGGTTGGGGTAAAAACATGCCAAACTACTATTGTCAACTATGAATTTAGCTACCGACAAAAAAGTAAACTTGAATTCTAGCAAATATAATACATTTTGAAGAACAAAGTTTTAAAAAATGACAAAGCCTACATGAGTGACAAGAGCCATAGGGCCTTGAGGTAATCTGACAAGTAAGATTAGATGTTAGTGTTATAGGATTATCCAAGCAATTAAGCTCGCCATTCGTATGAACATTAGCCCCTATGTTTACTATCCATACATAATCATTTTCATATTCCACATTAAGCAAACTATAGAAATATATACCTTTCATGCTTATAATAGGTGTCATTGGCTTAACATTCTTTTTTGAATCTCTTGACGAGTAAATCAAGTATCCCATATTTATATAGTTGCTCATGTAATTCTACCGTAAAATCTACTTAGATGAAGTTCCCGAAGAACTATTGATATGATTGTCATATATCATAGCTTTTGTAAGTGCATTAACATTTTCCAAATAGCTCACATTATGAGCATTAAAAGTCCTTTGTCAATCTCCACCACCAAGAGAACCACATCTACATCCTCTATTATTCCCAAATGGTCTTTGAGGATGATGAGGATATCCATAAAGCCTATAGCAAGTCTCTTTCAAATGAACAAGTGTATGATAATAATCACAAATAGCTTCTTTTCTATTTTGTCACCAATTGGTTTTATCAACAAATTGCTTCATTGGATATTGATTTCTAGTAGAGTAAAAAGTAGTGGAAACACTTGGATTTGTATTGATACCTTTCTATGATTCTTCATTAAAAACTATGGAATACGTCTAGGAATGAGTTGGCATTAGTTACATCAACGGAATTTGAGATCTCACTCACTAAAAATTATCATTCAAGCCCATCGAGAACTCGCATCACTTTATGCTACTCGTATGTATATAAAAAAGGCTAAGGAACTTCATTTTTGATAATGTGGGAAAATATAAGCGAGTGGAGGAATTAAGGAGTCAAGTTGATCCCAAAGTTGATTTAGCTTCGAGTAATATATTGTTATAGTGTTTGAACCTTGAATTAATGAATTAATTTCCTTATGCAA